CTCTGTAAACATGTTGTACTCGCCAACCGCGCGCTGTTATCACTAACTGTAACCGAAGGTGATTTCGGGATACACAGCCACGTCTCGTCGTCGGTACGGTTGGTCGCTCCCTTTCCTCCAACATGTTTGTCTGTCAACTGTACTAATTAATTTTTAATGTTGTAATGTGATTAAATGTTTTTGTTATCTAAAAATTGGCTCTTATGGCATGTTATGAATTCACCCTTAAAAGATCTCACAAATTCCAGTACTCATAGTTTGTTGTTGCACACAGCCGCAACCGCGTGCAACACCAGAAAGAAATATTCACATATTTTCTTCAATGCATTATATTTTGCAAATGATTCAGCTAACTAATTTTTCTACTACATATTAGTACCAGTAAATTTTACATCGATGCTTTTTTATACTTAGAATAAATAAGTCATCTCAATTAAATGCAATGTTCACATTTTAGGCACGTCAGAAAATGAGAACTAGCCAGTGTAATAAGTTAGATGATGTTTGAGCTTTTAATGCAACATGCTACATCACAATATAAGAATGAAATATGAATTAATAAGTAACAAAAAAAATGCTTGAGGCTATCAATATATAACAAATGAAAGTTTAATCATGAACTCTACATCTCATACAACTTAATAAGATGTGATATTAAATATAAAAGACGAAGAAGAATAAAATGGTTTCTGAAATCATACAATTCATAACTTATTATTGGACAAAGAGCTACTTCCTTTCATTTTAAAATTTACATGTGAAATACATACAAGGCCAGTGCAGCCACAGCAGGTGGGAATTTTTTTAGAATTTAGGCAGGCATCAAGCAGCAGAATTCAGAAACCATAGAGATTATATTCAGTGGCAAAAATAGCTAGTGCTGGTCCTGAATATATAACAATTCCTTTCACTTTCCAGCATCAACTTCGAATTTTCAATCACACATTTCTATAGGTTAAACTTTTAAAATTATTTTTCACCAAAACAGAAAACTACGACTGTTTTACTCATGATAAGTAAAATATGACACTAATATTCATGCCTTTAGCAGGAAATAATTTCTATGGTTAACAAAAACATATGCATATTTTTTATTAACTTCAGTATATATGGACTATATTTTTCAATATAGTGCTAATTCAGATTTTACTTGTCATTAAAAAATTTTCAGCAGTAATAATACTTTAAAAAACAAAAGACATGACATAAAAATATACTTAAGTAACCTAAGGAAAAAATTACATCGATTATTTTCAAAATATTTGCAAGCTATGCTGCCAGACAAAAACAGAACCCCAAGTTTTTATAATTACTAAAGCTCTTGTAAAAATATAACTAATCCAGAACATTTAATGCATTGCCACAACAGAATTTCAATTCTAATGAAAGTATGTTTTATTTTCTATACTAAATGTAACAGGAAAACATGAAATTATACAGATGCTTACCTTGTTCATAATTTAGGCAATATTTAATCTTCTAGGAAATAATAATAATAAATATCGGTAAGACTTTACCTTTTTAACACTAAAAAATTATACTGTAGAGCTAACAGAAATGTACAAAATATTTTACTTTTACAGTGGCTCACATTTTATTTCTGACACACATATTTTTTAAAATCATTTGCACAGATCTTGTACTAAATACTAAAACACAGACTTCAAAATTTTTTTACTAATATATTATTTTTTCTTTATTTTAAGCCTAGCTTCTTGTAACTTAATTACCAGCAAAATATTCCCTGGAATAAAATAATGTAATCAAAAAGTGTTAACCAGTAACTCATGTTATAATTTGGACACTCCAAATTTTGTGAGATATTTTGGTAGGCAATGATTTTTGTTGTAATTTTTTTATTTTAAAACAAAAATATATTACAAGAATTATTGCATACATTTGGAAATTACTACATGTTTAGCAAAATACATTAATATTTCCATATCTGAAATGAACATGGCAAGACACTACAAATTAAGGAATAATTTATTAGAAAAATCAATAAAACATTTTTTTAAAGATGGTAAAAGTATTCAAAATATCTAAACAATCTTTGATGTGGAGCACTCGACTATATCCGATGTTATAAAATGATGCATATTGCATGGAACTGATGAAAATGCCCTGAAGTCAGAACAACATTCCAAGCTAATACCAAGGTAATGCAAATTTATTTTAAGGAAAATTAGTCAAGTGCCAAAAGTTAGTACCGTAAAGGGCTGAGCAGCTTTAGAAGAATGGTTTGCAATAAAAGTTAACTATGAAGCTTTCAGGAGAGTCATTTAGGGCATATGGATAGAGTGGGCGATCAGCAAGTAAATTCTTTGTTAACAAGAAAACAAGGAAAATACTCCTGGTGTTCGTAAAATCTATAGTAAGCAAAATTTTATCGTACTGGAACAATGTTTATATTTACAGAAAAGCCAAGATTTAATATATTTGGGGCTGATCTTTGGAATATGGTAACTGGTAGTTTGGCGACATTTTGGAGGCGATAAAGGTTACTACCTAGGACTTTGGTAATAATGCGAGAAGTACTCAGTTCCGATTACGCATTACTTTGTGTGAGGGAAATGAGAGATTATGGGATATGTCATGTGACATTAATGGACGAATTAGTTCTTTAATCGGAAAAGGGGGTAAATTTGGAAAAATATCTGTGGTACTATATTATTTGTATTAAGCTTCATTGTGTGTTGTGTGAAATAGTGTCGATTAATTTTCGGATTGCATGGCGCTATGTAAAGTGAATTCTAAATTTTTAATGCGTTCATATGATAATAATAATAAGTTGAGATTGTGTGAAAGGAAGGATATTACAGATAAGTTTGAATGGCGGTGCAAGAAATCTGGTGAAAATGGACATTTTGTGAAACGGAGTGTAAGGAAGGGTACGTGGTTTGCTGAAAGTAGTTTGAGTATGGGTGAAATTTTATTAATTTCCTATTACTTGGTGAATAGACTGCCACTTGACTACTGGATTTCGGATTTAGAAATTAGCAGTAGTACTGCAGCCGATTGGAACTCTTTCTGTAGGGAAGCGTGCATGCCACGTAATGAAGATTCTGAAGAAGATTAGGTATTCTGAAGAAGATTAGATTAGTATTTTTAATCATTTGAGGATATTATTTTTATGCATTGTTCTAATTGTAAGGAGTAAATAAATTAATATGGTATTATTGGAAAATTGTTATTAGCAATGATTTAGTTTAAAGTAATTAGGATTGTAATAAAATTTTTATTAATTTAATGTGCTTATTTATATTTTAAGTAGTGTTTTTTAATTTAATTATATTTTAATTTAATGATCGTGATTTTGTGAGTTATATGTTTGTAGTATTTTGGAATACGTTTGAGTAGTATACGTTGAGTATTTTCATGCATTTTTGTGAAATTTTTCTAATTGATGACAAAAAAGCAGTGTACGTGGATATAGTGAAGAGTGTGCGCAATGCCATTTTTGTGCAATTCTGGGATGTTTTTTTTAAGTAAAAATAAGTCGACGTGTACATGGTTTAGTGATATTTTAATTAAATGATAGTTATTTTGTGAATTTTATGTTTGTAGCAATTTGGTATACGTTTCTGTTGAAGTAAACATGCATGGAAATAATTTAAATATTTGACACTAAGTATTTGTAACTATTTTTAATGTTTGTGGGATAAATTCGTTGGTGACGTTTATAATATAATAGATAATTGAGAGGTAAATGCTTTTGGATATTTTATTTATTTTATACGTGGAAATGTTCATCCTTGGAAAGGGTATATACTTTTTCGCGATCAGGTAATTTCATATGTGTGCTTTTTACCAAGTTTAAAGATTCAGAAAATTTTCGTGCAAATGTATGAGAAAATAGCAGTGTAGATGGATAAAGTTAAGAGTGTGTGCAATGCCATTTTTGTGCAATTCTGAGATGTTTTTTTAAGTAAAAATAAGTCGACGTGTAAATGGTTTATGTGTATGTGCTATTCTGAAAAACGCGCAAGGAGTTTGCGATTGTGCACTTTTCCCCAATTTTTCAGTTAATATTTGTCATGATTAAGCAGTTTTGTTACCTAAAATTTCTAGCATAAGTGTAATTCGGCTAGTAGATTGTTGGAAGAAGTGTTGAGTAAATAAAAAGAAAAGAAACATGTCTTTACTTCGTTAAGACAGAATGGCGGCGAAAAAAAAAAAATAGAGGGTTGCTGTAGCAGCGTTGGTTGCCGAAAAATCGCCAAGTTACCATAATCCAAAGATTAACCATATTTGGGTGTGACACGTGAAATTATTTGTGGCAAAATCAAATTAAAAATTGAATTCCAAAAATCTATTGCCTAACATTGTGCACAGGGATACACGTATAATGGTTTTCCGTTGTCTATGGAATAAGAAATTTAGTGTTTATCAAAAATAGATTCAAGTTCTACCAAGATACCAATTCTAAACATACAATCTTATATTCTCTTGTGATTATTATAAAAATGTCCTAAAATTATCAAAACTCATAAATTTTCTCTGAACTTAAATCCTATCAACCACAGAATGAATAAATTTAAGAAAATATGAAATTTCTTCAAATGTTCTATTAAAAGCAATTCTTACATAGGAATGGTATTATGGTATATTCTTACAACAACAAAAAAACAAAAAACAAAAAATGCTGAATCCATGCTAAAGTGCATGAAAAGTATTATTTTAGCTAAAGGATATCCAACAAAATATTGAATTACCCACTATTTTCACATTTTTATTAAATATAAACTGCTTGTTTAAAGTGTGAAAATACTTATAGGAGTTCAACAAGCAGATTTTAAAATAGATGATAAATCATATATGTGAAAAAAAATAAAGATATTTTTCTAATACTTAGTAGCTGATATTTGTAAATAAAACTGAAAACATAAGTGCCCAAGAAAAGCATGAGCCACTGTACATAAATTATTGTTATTCAATATTCTTCATTCCTCAAGTAAAATTTACATAAAAGGGAGATATGCAAACTCATATTCAGAAGATTTAATATACAGAACACCATATCCTTGATTTATATATATATATATATATATATATATAATGTATATGAAACTCCTTCCTTATTACTTGAGGCCTAAATCAACCTCACTTGGTAACTATATGCAAATTTCAGATCCTTCTGAGATAATAATTTCTAATTTCAGCAATAAACATCATTTTAATCTCCTGATTTCAAACACTATCATCTAGCATTTAATAAAGTTTAAAAAAAGAGCACTTTGTTCAATAATGGAAATTTTTTATTTAAGTTTAGGATCTGTCATCATCTACTTAGGGATGCCTCAGAACTTTCAATGCAACTACACTAGCATCACAGTAAATATCTAGACTTGCATAGTTTGAAAATCAAAATAATTATTGCAATTTTTGTTATTGATACAATATTTGCCTTTTAATGTATTTTCTTAAAATTTATAACATATTTTATCCCCAAAATAATTTCAAAACAAAATAGATTCTTTCTAAAAGCTTAAATCTTATAATTCGAACTCATAAGATATCATAAAAGTAAATACGTCATTATTACAAAATGTATATCTCATGTATTTCAAATTTTGTTTCCGAATGTATTTTAGTATTATCCTTACCAAATTAACTGCTTCGGTCCTTCATCATACAACTTTCGAATATACTTTAAAAGTTCTAACATATTTGTTCCATATTTTGCAGATACTGGAAAGACCAAAATATTTACATTATTCTGCAGAATTTGTAGTTTTGCATTTACATCACTTCCTAAGTCACATTTATTAGCCACAATAGCATGAGGTTTATTGGACAGTCCTGGCTGATATTGTTCTAATTCATATTTAAGATGTTCCAATTGATCCATAGGTGAATTCTGCGATAGATCGATGACATATAAAATACCAGAACATCTCTCTATATGCTTCAAAAAAGATATTCCTAAACCTCTATTTTCATGAGCTCCTGGTATTAATCCTGGAAGATCTGCAACTGCTAGTTGCACATAGTCATCATAATGTATAATTCCAATATGAGGATTTAAAGTAGTAAAAGGATAGGCCGCAACTTTTGGGCGAGCACGTGATATTGCTCGTAAAAGAGTTGATTTTCCAGCATTAGGAAAACCTACTAATCCTATATGAGCCATTATTTTCAATTCAATATCAAGAGTGCGAACTTCTCCATTTGCCCCTTTTTCTGCCATATCTGGATGCCTATTCTGATTTGTGAGAAAGAAGTGATTGCCATGACCACCAGCTCCTCCCCGAGCTGCAATAAATTTAGCCTCATGTTCGACCAAATCAGAAAGCAATACATCGTTTTCTTTTATTAAGGTACCGATTGGTAGTTTTATTATAGCATGTTCTCCATTTGCACCATGCATATGTTTACCCATCCCATGCATTCCTTTACCAGCTCTAATAACTGATGGCACGTCTTCGAGCGTTTTAGTATTCCTACAAGCTTCAAAAATTACATGACCTCCATTACCACCGTCACCACCTGATGGACCGCCAAAAGGATTTTTGTAAAGTCGCAAAAAAGCAATACAACCATCTCCACCTTTACCACCCCTCACTGTAACACGCCGGAAATCGACGAACTTCTGTGTCTTGAAATTATCTGAAGTCGGCTTTGTTTTTCGTAGAGGATTTGGAGCAACATGGGTGCAAAAGTAAGCATTATTTTGAATTACATACAGTTTCAAAATACTAGCAATAGTTTTTACTTTTCTCAGCTGCATTACAAATATGAGGGTGATAGTTCGCTGAGCAACAATTTAAAAGAGTAAAAATTTTAATATTTTCACAAAAAGCATAGTAAATTACCATGCAATCCACTAGAACATTAACACAAACATTGTTCGGTGCATTTTGAAATAAAGTCCTTCTGCTATAAGGAGGAAATAAATGTTAAATATCGAAAATAGGAAATTCAAAGAGATTTTGGGCCAAAAGTAAAAGCAATATGTCGCTTTAAGACTTGAACAATTTTTTTCAGCAAAATTCAAGCTGAAATTTACTTTGATTTTAGAAAAAAGATCAATCATTAAGAAACACTCCTTAAGTAGATTACTTTTCTTCAGTAAGCAAAAATATTCTGCCAAATACTTCGTATACTATGACTCAAAATAGGAAGGGAAAAAAATTTATCTCTCTTACTGGCTGGTTTTCCATCCATCACTAATAACATTAACGCATACATCTTCTAATCGTATTATTGCATAAATCCCTTCCAGTTTGAGACTTCTACTTTAATTTAATTACTAGTCATTTTAAGTAGCAAAGTGATCGCAAATTACTTACAGTCGGTCACAAAAGTATCAGAAAATGACAAGATGGCGTTTTTTTCTCACATGTTATTCCATAATAGGTTTTCTTTTCCTCCCCCCATCTTGAAAAACTGAAAATCTACACAATCTCTCTTTGAATTTGGAAGCCATTTTTGGGAAGAGCGGAACACCTCATCTTGGAGAACAGAAATGAACACTCTACACCACCTCTCTTTGAATTCGGAAGCCATTTTTGGGAAAAGCGAACCACCTCATCTTCGAGAACAGAAATGAACATCCTACACAATCTCTCTCTGAAATGGGAAGCTATTTTGGCACAACCTATTCTTGCGAAACTGAAATCTGCAACCCCCTCTCTTTGAATTCGGAAGGCATTTTGCGAAAAGTGGACCATCTAATCTTGGAGAACTGAAATGAACGCTCTCCACGATCTCTCTTTGAAATGGGTAGCTATTTTGGGACCACTTAACCTTGAAGAACTGAAATGAATGCTCTACACCCTCTCTCTGAATTGGGTAGCCATTTTGGGAAAAGTGGCACACCTAATCTTGGAAAACTGAAGTGAACTCTCTACACTCTCTCTCTTTGAATTGGGTAACCATTTTGGAAAAAGCGGACCACCAAATGTTGGAAAACTGAAGTGAACTCTCTTTGAATTCGGAAGCCACTAAGATTGGTATATATATAATATTGTTTTTATTGTTATCATTACAATCATACAATTTGTTGAAAAAAAATTATGACATTTCCGATAACAGTTCGATTTCATTCTAGGTTACCTTATCTAAACAATCTTATTATTTTCTTCAAGATCTACTAAACTTTGTAAATCCATAAAATCGTCCCATACAGCGTATTTCCAAACCCTACCCCACTTTTCGAATTTTTGACGTCATGGACGCATGTTCCTAAAACGTACTCGCTGTACCTCCTGCTGTGAGAGCTGCTTCGCTGCTATTGGTTAGAAGAATTTAGACGTAACATAGAGCTTTCGACGTCATTTGTTTTGTCACGTGGTAAAGCTTCTCGTACTCCAGCCATACTTGTTCGGATTAGAGAGGTTATGTTTTAATCCTTTAAAAAAATCAGTTAAGTCAGAGGTGATTTTATGTACAACTGAATTAATTCATATGTTAATATATATTTTCACTTTATGCAATACACACTTGAGAAATACCGGATCATTACAAAGGAAGGAAAATGGGTTATTTGCTTGAGAGGGTTATATCCATATAGCATTTTGCTAATGGAATGTTGGAAAAACAATATTTAACATAGTTTATTAATCTTTTATCGTGATACAACCACATTTTTAAGAACAAGATTACAAAGTTTACAATTATACACCTAAATTTATCTCAGTTTTCACTCTGAGATGGAATCCCAGGAAAAATATTGTTAATGATGGACTAGATCAAAGTAGTTAGTTATATAGAGAAAGCACACGTGGGATCTTTGCCTTTACTGAATAACATTTGCCAGTCAATTTACAGCAAAATATATATGCCTACATTGTCCCATTAAATTAAATATAACCTTTGAATCGCTCTTAATATTCTTGTTTTAAAAGTAACTTGTCAGTTAATTTTATCAGTAACTTTTAGTATGCATTAGGTAGTAAGGAATATACTTTTTAGACACATAAACATTGCTTGGATTATCCTAAATTTTCATTTATATTTTAAAATACACAGTGTCATTTCCATTATCTATTTCTACTTCATTACCTTTTTTTTTTTTTTTTTTTTTTTTTTAAGATGGGGATGATCTAGTGTGACAAATTGCATTTTGAATGTATTTTAAATTTACCATTAATATTTTAAACTACATTTTGCACCAATATTTATGTTTGCTCTCCCATTAAGGGAAACAAATATAATAATATAAGTTATTAAATTAAAATTCCTGTGTTTAATTCCATCTTTAACAACAGCCATAAAATATATGGAATTTACATTCTTACCACAGATGTGGTAAGTCATGAACTCATTGGCAACTTTGAAGAGCATTTGCAAACTTGTTGGTGAGTTAGGAGAGGGATGTTTGTTTGCATATCTTTAAATTTATTTCAACGATGCATCCACCACCACCTATTGTTTTACATTTTTCTTCTTCAATACAAGACACGCACAATTCTAGGCTTTTTTTCACCGCACCGTTGTTTTCCCTATAAATCTTTTTAATAAAAAAAAAAAAAAAAGAAAATTGCAAAATTTTGGCACCAGAATCCTAAAATGAGAAAGGAAAGAGAGGCATGTGATGCCTTTTATGTTGTATGCATGCAGAAAGCAACATCGCCAAAGATTTTACCAGAGACAACAGAAACTGCGGTATGTGGTCCACCCGAATGCTGAAGTACTGAAATTCCCATAGGAGGGATCATAATCTGCAACCACACTGGTGAAAATATCTGGAGAAGTGCTGTCTGGGAGAATGCTATGTGTATACTTGGGTTGCCATATAAATGATTTTTAGTGACATGTGTAGCCACATAAATTTTTCTTCGCATCATGGTTTAGACCATCAATACTTTTTCACAGCATTCTGGTGAGGTTCAGAAAATTAGAAAGTACCAAAATTCATCATTTTAGAATTATTTTGAGTAAGTTATACACTTTGTGAACTGTGATGAACAAAAATTAATAAGCTGTGCTTCCCTCAAACCAATTTCCTTTCTTCCACATAATGATTTATTTGCATATATCAGAACTTTACTATTGCAATATGCTTTTGGAATGATTATTATTTCAATCTATGAGATTTTTATTTTACCACCAAAGAAAACGCACACAGACATCATTGCTGGGAAATAACTACCTCTAAAAATCTGACATGTATTAATAATAAATAGATACCTTTGTCACAATTTGAATTATCATTTTTAAAGCACATATGCTTTATACTTTATATTTAATTATGTTAAAAAAAAAAAAAAAAAGCACTATCCTACTTGATCTGGTTTTCCTACCTGAGCTGGTGAATGAACTCACTAGTTTGACTCATTGATTAAGATAACATAATCTGTATGTATGGCTGTTTACAGTTATATTATTCTTCAGTTCAGAACTAAGTAAGTGCTACATAGCAAAAAGTTAAAGTAGTTTTTTTTTAAAGTGACCATTGTTTCAGCTAACTTTGGTAGAAAAAATTAAGCAGCCCTTAGATGCTTTGCCATGTTCAAGTAACCTAACCAAACCCTCGTTAGAACATTATAAGTGACTACAGCTATAGTTGTGCATAGAACTTTGCAAATAGAAGGATAAATAATAAAAATAATAAATTCATTTTTTCCAGATGAATCTTAATACATCAACACCATCAAGGATCACATCCATGGTCTGCATCAAAAAAATGCCACGTTATGTCATGCATTATGCATCCCCATACAGGTCTGAAACCAAGTGTAATCGTATGGTCCATTACATTCCAGTTGCCTTCACGTTTAATGCTTGCAGTTGCTTCACGTTTAATGCTAATTTCACGTTAAATGCATTATGTCATGCATTATGCATCCCCATACAGGTCTGAAACCAAGTGTAATCGTATGGTCCATTACATTCCAGTTGCCTTCACGTTTAATGCTCATCGGTGGCCAGGGCAACCTGTATGAGTGCAATGGGCAGCAAGACATAGGAGCGTCAAAATTTTTAGAATTTTGGCAGGAACTGGAAGGCATAATTTGCAAGCAGCAGTTATTCTATTTAGGTGATAAAATATCTAGCTCTGGCTTCGCTAGCAGCCAAGCAGTAAAGTAGTTGAATACTGATAATTCGACCTGGGTTTACATTCTAGCGAACAGGTTGGCTGCACGTGTGTTTTCATAGTTTTCTGCATATATGAAATATGTATAAGCTAACTTCTCTTTGAAAGTACCTCTACCCTTAGCCAAGTTACTATACTGTAATCAAATAAATTAAACACCCCCCCCCAAAAAAACAGCCTCCATGTTTAATGTGCAGTTGAACAGGCGCCATTGTTTAGGGCTACTGTAAATGATTTATCAGATTTAAAAATTCTAATATCGAAAATATTATGCATATTATAATGATTGAATCCAAGTAAAGAATGAGAAATTATCCAAATTTTCTTTACGTACAACAAATGTTTTGCTGTGTATGTTATGTGAGCACCAGCTACATTATGTACAAAAATACCATGTGAGCACCAGGTGCATTTTGTACATAACATATTAACAGTACATTATGTACAAAAATGCACTCCTTAATGTTTGCCCAATCGAAGACTTCAAATGTGATAGATGATGCAGTATGGAAACTCGTACAAAAAATGTGTGAAATCAATAGCCATTTGGAAGTGTGCTATGTGATCAATGTTCATAAAATGTATGTAGCATGCGAGGTAATTTTTTAGTTTCTAGTTCATTTCCAAAAATTGATTATTGTATGTATACCATTTATGAAAAGGCAGTGTTTTTAAAATCTGATGAATCATTTATTATTACTCTGAGGTTTTCGAAGCTCACTGCTGTCTATCTTTAGAGGTTGTCTAGAACTAGTGATCAACAAGGAATGTATGGCACATAACAGAGAACAAATCCTAAATTCCCACCATTTTTTTTATTGATCTAT